ATCTTTCAGTGGCCTTGCTATGGTTTTATAAAGTCTGCGCAAAGAGAGTATGAGTTTCCTCTGGTGACTCAACAACAATAGGTTTGTGCTTGTGTTTTTGACCCTGCACACACATCCCTGGGCCTTGCTGAGAGAAAACATGATATGCAAAAAAAAAAAAAAAAAGAAAGAAAGAAAGCGAAGGGGCACTGATAGTTATGATACTGTTTAAAACATAAGAGGAAATTAACCTGCCTTCCTTTCCTCCCCCACAAAAAGAAAGAAAGCAGAAGTGGTATCTATTTTTTAAATATGCAATGGGTTATTTTTATTATAGGAAAAAAGACTAAAATGTGTTACATGGATAAAAATTGTTAATGTCTGCTCAATTACAGATGTTTAAAAATAGAGCCATGTAGGAACTCTATAATCAGAAAAATTGCATGCTATGATATTTTGAGGGGAGGGTTATTTTACATTGTGAAAGTTCCAGCAAGGCATTCAAACTCTTCACTTATATTTTTTTTCCACAAGTTATTAGAAAGAGCTCACTTATGACAAATGATTGACATAACTCCTTTCTTGTCTTTTATTTTTTCTTTTGTCATAATTAGCTGTCAATATAATATCTATTCCTTTACCTATTTTGTCCTTTTTATCTTGGCAAACATTTTGTTTTCTTACAGCTGCATTTGTCTGTATTTTTGTTGCCTCTAATTTACTTATCTGCGTGTACTCTGTCATTTGGAAGAGACCGTGTACTATTTTTTTTTCCCTTTTTCTCTAATTCTGCAGAAGTCAAAAGAGCTGCCTGTTTTTTTACATCTGTTTGTAAAACTAACATAATGAGTGATGAAGTCATCAGCGATGTGATCAGGTACGTGTGTAGCTTGCAGGATTTGCTAACAAACATGCCATTCACACTCTTTTCTTCAGATGAAGGCATTAAGTTTGTTAGTGTGCTGGTATAAAGCAGTCACAGATGGTCAGGAGGATGGAGATCCCGATCCCAACTTCATTGTGCCTGCTTTTACACCACTGGAATCTCCATGGACTTCAGTAGAGATACTCCAAGTGACTAGCTATATAGTATATTAAAAGTATGTGTAGGCAAAAGCATTCTGGATTTATTTTTTAAAAGAGGGAAAAGATAATACATATATTTTAGTACAGACAGCAGTATTATCCCCATTTTAAAGGAGGTCCTGAAATCTGAGTCTAAAAAAGTTGACTGTTCCTTGATACAGAATCTGATGTGAGAATGAAATCAAGTGAATAATCAGTCTCTTTGCATATGAGTAAAAGAACCTGTAACTTTTATGTACAAAAGCAGAAACGCAAGAATCTGGCTGTGAGATTTTTACGTAATGTAGACACTAACAGGAAAATTATTTCCCTTTGCAGATATTAAAGGTATCAGCAGATTAATTCAAAGAGAAATACATGTTTGTGCATGTAGTAGCACCAATATATAGTATTCTATTTTTTTCAGAAGGCAGAATGGCTTAATCCACTGACAAAGTGTCATATTAGAAAGCCAAAAGCTTTGGGCTGTGCCACTGATGTATTTTAGGGAAGTGGGCAAATCTCTAATTAGACTCCTATTTTGCTTGATAATTGTAGTCTCTAGACTACAAATAGTCTGTAGTCTCTGGGAATCAGGGACTGAACACCCCCCTAGCCCCCCGCCCCCAAGTCAGCTAGCACCTTGTAGTATTGGGATGAGTTGCCCTGTCAGTAAAGATGGGGAAATACTTTTGTACCTACCTCACAGGGGTGTTGTGAGGAATAATTTTATGTCTGTAGTGTTTCAAAGATGGAAAATGCTTGGTATTACCACTGATTTTAGAGAGTTTACAGTACATGTACTATTATTTATTATTTGTACTCCAGTAGTACTTACAGGCTCCAGTCAGGACTGAGAGGCCTTATCCTAAATGTTGTATGTTCACCTATTTGGGATTGATAAAAAATTTTACTCAGTAACATTTTTCCAATGGCAGTTCTTCATTATCAAATATCTAATTACTCTAGTGGGTTTCATTCAATTATTTAGGTGTTCAAATTGATTATCAGGTTTAGACTACAGCTTAGAGTTATCTGATATCACATTTTGTTTTGAGCTTGTATTGATTTTCAGAAAGTGCACCAATTTTCTATGGATAATCTAGAATCAAATCTTGCTATCAGTGGAATTCTACTGTACTTTTTGCTATTAAAGCTAAACATTAAAATAAATGTGTGTGTATATATTATTATACACAAATATATAATATACATGTACCTATAAACATGTACGTTTAAAATCTCTTTAGCTGCTTAGAATTAATTTCAAAATGTGTGTTGACTATTTTGTTCAAGCGTTATCCATCTCAGATACAACTAAAACATCGGTAAATGGTGTTGGCCCTTAGTAAACACAGTTTGAAAATCATTACAACAGAAGACATATCAGTGTGGTTATATTTATGTA